ATCAAAGTATTGGGCTTAAAAAAAGACAATGTGAATTAAATAATTTAGGATGTAGGATCTTACTTCCATCATTACATATTAGAAGTGCAAGATATATAATAGAAATACTTCAAGATCCTATGGCAATTATAAGGTTTTATTAGCATTTTGATATTTTTTTGATATTGATAACAAATTCAAGATGGTCAAAAATCTACAATGAATTGCTTCAAGAACAACAAGCAAGTAATCAACTAGATTTGGTTGCCTATATATTTGAGCTCAAAAGATGTACAATTATGAAAGATATAGAAAAAGAAGTTGTATTTGTTCATATTATTGCATATATTTATAATATTAAGTTTTAAAAGAGATGTCTGTCTCATATGTACATCTTGATTGTTTTGGATAGAAAAAAATAAGAATAGATATACTTGAGATATAAATCATATATTTTCTACAAAATTTCCATAAAAAAATAATGATTAAGAGCTATTTTAAGTCATTCTATTATGCATGGTATATGGTCTATGTGGAATGCAAAATCCTTAAGTACCTTACATAGAAGACAATCATTATATAAAGAGTTATTTAAAGGTGTTTGTAGAAGAAACAACAATAGATGTTGATGGATATTTTCAATATTAATGAAGAAATGATAGAAGAACATTTAAAGTTTGATAAATAGTTGTTGATAATAGAGATGTTATTCCATTTTGTTCAAAACTATCTTAAAAGTATAATTGCCATACTAATGTTGAGGTATGTGCATCTATTTGTACTGTTAAATATATCCTTAAATACATCTATAAAGGCCATGATTGCATTACAATGCAATTTGAAAATAAAGAGGATGAAATCAATCAAGATTTGGATGTGATATATATTGGACTCTAAAGCCTACTTAAAGACTTTTTGGCATGCAAATTCATGACGAAATGCCAAGTATTATTTATTTAGTGGTTTATCTTCCAAAAATACATCAAATAGTATATAATCCAAATGATAAGGTAATTCCAATTTTAAAATATGCTAAAAGACAAAAGACAATATTAACTTTATTTTTTGAGACATATACAATAATAGTAATAGTAAGACAATGTACATATCAATAGTTTCCACAACATTTTTTTTGGAATAAGATAAGAAGTACATAGACAATAAAAAAAATATAGATTTGCTATTGAAAGATTATATTTTATAAATCCAGAAATAAGAAAAAGATATTATTTAAGACTTCTATAAATCCACATTAAAGGTCCATAATCATTTGAGTACTTAAAGACTATTCATAAAATTTTCCATCCAATATTTAAAAGTATATGTAAAGCTTTAGGATTGCTTAAAGATGATAGAAAGTGGTAATAATGTTTCAAAGAAGCATCAAGAATACAAATTGGATTTCAATTGATGATGTTGTTAATTATTTTGTTATTAAACAAAAATATGCTAAATCCATTAAACTTATAAAAAAAATATTTTGGAAAAGCATCTTCGATGATTTCAATGCTCGTTTGCAAAAAAAAAAATATGGAATCAAAAATTCAACATAGGAACACATTAAGGACTTTAGATTTGACTTGCTAGATAAGATTTTGCAAGACTTCAATAGAATGCTTGAATAGTTTTTTCTAGTGCTATTATCAAGAAATAATTGGAATGCAATAGTTAATAGAAATTGATTTATTGTTGGAGAAAGAATATATGGCATTTAATAATTAGAAGTAAATTTGAAATAATATTTTTCATAATTGAATCTTCAATAAAAAAAAGCATATGATGATATTTTGGCCTTTATAATGAAGGAATATAGATACATATATTTTTTTAAAATAGGCTTGCAAGAATTGATAAAATATTTTTCTACAACACTTTGGCAACTAAAGTTTGATTGATGCAAATGGTTGCAATGTGTATTGTATTATCAAGAATTACTATATTCCAACTTGAGGGAGGAAGAATTTTCTATTATATATTCAAGATTCTATTAAATTGTAACAATGTTTTTTTATTCAATTACTAAAAATTTTGACCATGCTAAGTTTATTTACCAAACTTCACTTATTATTTGAAATGAACTTCCAATGTAACATCATTATTATCCTAAGGCAATTGATTATTCCTTTAGAGATATTTGGAATATTGATGGTCCATTTAGAGGAGCTGCAATTATTTTTGGTAGAATTTTTGCCAAATATTTCTAGTGATTGTAAAAAGAAGTTGAAAAAAAATTATAGTAGCATTCTTTTGATGTTCAATACTTTGGCCTCAAATAAAAATCCATACATTATAAAAAAATATGAGGTTGATGTTGTTTATCCAAGACTTATATTAGATGATGTAACAAATGATGCCTTCTAAAGAGATAAAATTATTTTATTTGCACAAAATAATGATGTAGAAGATATTACTGAGAAGATTATGGCCATATTTTCTAATGAAAAATAAGAATATTTAAGTACTAATGAAGTTTTTGTTGAAGATAGTATCAACAATGATAATATTTATCTAGTCCAATTCATCTAGTTGCTTATTCCATCATGAATATTCATATCAAGGCTTTATCAGAAGATTGAGTCTCTGATGGTGCTACTAAGAAATATTGCTTCTTGTCAAGGACTTTGCAATAGAATCCAATTAATAATTACACAAATAATGGATTGAATTCTTAAAGAGAGAATTCTTGGAGGAAAAATTGCTAAAAACTTGGTATTCATTCTATAGATTAGTTTAACTTCTACAACAAAAGAACTTCGGTTCATTCTAAAACAAAAGCAATTTCCAATCCATCTTGCATTTGCAATAACAATGAACAAATCCTAAAGACAATTGGTGAAGTATGTTGGTTTGAATCTATGACAACCTATTTTTTTCCATGGTCAATCTTATGTAGGATTCTCTTGATGCACTTCTTCTTGTTCTATTAAGATTCTTCTTTCTAGAAATAACAATTTAAAATTTATACTAAATATTATTTTTCTAAAAGTTTTAATTAAATAAATATTAGTATTTTATTTTTATATTTTATATTTTAATTTATTTATTTATTAAATTTAGTACATCTATGAATGTTTTAATATAATTTTATGATTTTTTAATATAATTTAATTTAATTAATTAATTAATTAATTTTTATTCCAACTACCAAGTAGTTCTTTGAATAAAATTAACTATTTTTTTTGCATATTATTTATGACAATAGCATAGGTTTACCTATCCTACTTTGTAGTTGGAAGATCTATTGTGTATTTTATTTCTTCTATTTGTATTGTATTGTGTTTGTATTTAAAAAAATATCCTTTAGCTCAAAAAATGCTTCATTTGAGTCACACTTTCCTTGACAACAACACGAGTTCATCTAATATTTGTTTATAGATTGTAAAATCATACTGTAATTTTCAAAAATGATGCACAATGCTCTACATATTAATAATTAGAATTAAAAAGAATTAAATAAATTTATTTTAATAATTATTTTTTTCTTTTATAGACTAAAATAACTTATAGATTTGGCATAACTTTATAGTTTTTTAATTCCATATTTTTTCTTGGATTTACTATAATATTTCATTTTTTTGCATTATAAATTAATATAATTTTTTTTATGTTTGTTTTCGATTCTTTACTTTAATTTAGTTTCTTTTTTATTTGTTTTATATTTTATAATTTATAGAATCAAAAAATAATGTGAATGTGTTAGTTAATCTAAATTAAAGTCTCAACTATTTTTTTAATAAAATAGTCAATGATAGTTTAATTTGAGGATTAAATAGGTATTGAGGAATTCCATAAGATAATCAACTTTTCAAATTTTATTTATAGTATTAATTCTACTCAATTATATCTTAATAAGTTATAATCTTTGTAAAGCTATAAAAAAATAATGGAACTCATATAATTCTATTGTGCTCAATTTTCTTGTGCTAAATTACAACCTTCCATAAATTCTACTCTAAGAAGCAAATTGACGTCATAATGTAGTAAAGATAATAATGTACATTTAGAATTTAATTTAATTTACATATGATGCAAATAATGCAAAGAATGTAAATTATTACTATTGTATATGATACTTTGATTAATGACATTTAAACTAAATTTCACACATATATGGATATACTATTATTGCGCTACTCAAAATATAAGATGTGTTTTGATTATCATATAATACATTTGTAAATAAAAATTGTGTATTTAAGGTATTTGAAATATCAGATAATCATACAGATACAACAAATATTTTTGGTACAATGTTTTGGATTGTAAAGATAATTGTTAAAAAAGAAAGGGTGATAAAAGCATTATCAATTGGTTTTCTTTGAAGAAAAAATATCAATCTTTATTACTAATTATTAAAAAATAACCTGAGAAACGATTACTTTATTGGATTACAAAACAAATGTCATCCACAATTGTGTAAATTAGTGTGTTTGATGTACAGAAATGAACATTGCATAGAAGGACCACATTCATCCCTACAAAGTCATTTATCAGGGTGGTCACACCGAACTTTGCATTGACACGTGGAAACTCACAATTGGTCAGATTAACATGTATGATGTATTGGTTCGAATGTGAAGCCAATGGGAGGGCGACAGGTGCAAGTGGGGATGGTTGAGGCCTGACGTCGGCTACAGTGAAAAGAGGATGAATGCCGATGGATGAAATATGGGGAGGGGCTGCCATGGATACTAGTGGGCCACATGTGGGGATCTCTCTCCTCAAGCAAGCACCACTAGTCAGAATTCCAACTATATTACCTCGACGCGCGCGCTCGCTGCTCGTCTCTCACTCCGCGCGCACTCCCAATTATTCCCCGCCACAATTACTGTGTCTGCCGACTCGCGTCGACGTCACCGTCTGTGTCTATGACCGCGAGTGGGGTACGATCAGGAACCGTGGTCCTGTGACTGGCAAGGAACAGGTGTTTGAGATCGTCGGGAACGTGGTGTGTGTGAAGGCGTTCCCGACGCTGGTTCGTCTCTTCTATCGGGGCAGAGGCGGCAAAATGAAGGAAGGTAGGCAAGGGGAAGGGAAGGGAAGGGTGGGCTATAGTAGAGGGACCATGGCTGCGATTCATTGAAGGGGGGCAAATACCAAGCGAGACACACTCGCCCGAGCTGAGGTCCTTCATCGGAGGGGTGGGAGCTTCGCGGCGCCCATGGAGGCTATGACGATGGAGGAGCAGAACTAGACAGGCCCCGTCGATGGCGCCTTCCGCTGCTTCCTCGGCCGAGCACCATCGTCGCTCCACCTTCGGGGTTGTCGACGCCGCACCCATGGTGGTGGCGGTGACGACGACGGCACCATCGGTGGCACCGTCGAAGTCGACGACAAATCAGCAGAATCAGCATCATCACCATCCTAACAGGGCTGGCGCCCCTCTCTCCGCCCTTTCTATGCTTCCGTCCGGTATGGGCACTCCGCCCATGGATGTTGTCGGACATCGCCGCACGTTTTCGACGTCGTCTGCTCACGGAATACTCCCACAGGTATGGTTGCTTGTGTTGGATTGTTTGGTGACTTCGATCTGTGACCTTGGGTTGTGGGTCGTGGGTCGTGGGCGTGTGATGTCTGTAGTGCAAGGGTTGACGGTCACTTGAGAGGCAATGAGCTGTGCTAAGGAGATTTCTTTTACGGCGTGAGAATTTTCGAATTTTCAGATGAGATGTTGTCGCCGGTTATTTTGTAACTTAGACCTCGGTTGCAGTGGCTGACCCCCCCCCCTTTTTTATTCCTCTCTTTCTCTCTCTCTCCCTCTCTACCCTTCTTCATCTCTTTTCTCCTGATTTTTGGTCGTACGGTTCAAGTTCCGATCGTTCATCGACCGCGCGGGTAGAATAGGTTTGTGAGTATGTGCCCAGGAGGTGCGAGTCTGAGCTTTCGGACTGGTGAGAAATAGAATCCTATTCGTAAAATCAGTTTGAACTGCAGAAATGGGTTGTCTGTGTGTTGGATTTGTAAGGTCTTAATTAGGGACATGTACAGAGCATCTTCGTGATTCTAATTCCGTGTGTTCTCAGCCTTGGTCCCTGCCTTAATATTTGTGGTAGTGTCGTAGATTCCTTTCTCGTTTTCTGTGTCTATCTCAATGCTTGCATAATTTGCGATTATTTCCATCTTGGGGTCTGTTTTCCTACGTTTCGCCTTTAACCTGGTTGTTTTCTCTGTTACGACAAACATAATTTCTGAAACTTATTAAGAGGGCGGGTTTGATTCTTTTCGACAAGTTGTGAGGATATTTCTTGTGGTTAAAGTAATCAGATTCTAGTCGACTTTTACATTATGTGGTTCCGGATAGATTGATGCTCAATTTTCTTGAAGTTTTCGGATTGCGCGTGCATCTGTTGCCTAATTTTTGTTCCTAACGCTTATGTGTTCTCTCATCCTTCCTCTTGTTCGAAATTTCAATCTATAAGTCTGGGTTATGGTCTCAATAGAACAAGGAATGTTTGCCTTTTTGGCACTTTTCCCGGTTCTCACTTCATTTCGACATCGCATTCTAACTGTAATGTCGAAAAGTTGGTGTCGATGTTTTATCTCATTAACTTTAGGTGTTTGGTGATGTGAATACATTTTTGTGCTGACGTAATGATTTGTGTCAGGTTGTGGATGATATAAGTGGGAATAATGAGAAGAAGGTGCATCTTCTTAGTCGGTCGCTTTCGGGGTCGACGCTGAATGCAGGAGCACCCGAATTTGTTCCGAAGGGTCTGCAAATAGCTTTTTCTACGTCTTTACCGGGACCAGGGCTCGCTCCAGGATTAGGGTTGAGTCCTCCGTCTTTGATTCAATCTCCGTCATCTGTGATTCCTGTGATAACACCCCCGCCGTCTGTAGCGATCGCTTCTGTGGCGGAATTTGGTCCTACGGTAGAGGAGCATATTTCTGTGTCTCCGACTAGTATTGATCAGGTTCCAGCAAAAGATGGCACAGATACCACCGATTGCACCGATGTCGTGCCGGCAGGAGAGCACAGTAGTAAGAGCGACCAGGCTCAACCAGGTGCAACTGCCGTGGCGCAACCTACGAAACCAGTGCTGACGGAGGAGACTAAGGCTAAGATTGTGAAGCAGGTATGATATCTTCCGTCGGTGTTCACTTTCTTGTGATCATCGTCAATCTGTTGCAAGTGGTCCGTTTTTAATATGTTCGAGCTTGTAGAACACAGGTAGTTTAATTTCGATGCTTTAACATTTCGAAGTCGGATTTATTGGTTTGAGTAGCGGCCCTGCGAATGCAACTTCTGACGGACTTTCGTTGCATCAATAAATTGGATGTGAGCTGAACTTTTGGGGGTTTCTTCATGCTATATGCGACAATTAGTTAAATTTTTGTTACAACATTTTTAGAGAAAGATACATGAGTTAGCATATATATGTCGTCCCTCTGAATGTCGGAATATTTTAAGACAGTCTTCATTTGAATTAGGGTTTTTGTAGGTGGTTGTAGTATATATATCTGTGGGGCGCTGATACCAGTCCTCTGTGCGTTTATTGTGTGTATATATGTACACACAACGCTGTCCGATTGATTTCATACTTATGAATAGATAATCATAACACAGTCATGTAAGGTTTCACTGTGTTCTGCGTTGTTTGCAGGTGGAGTTTTACTTCAGCGACACAAACCTTCCAACAGACAACTACCTGATGAAGTTTGTGAAGAAGGATTCAGAAGGCTTTGGTATGACTGAGAATTTTTTCCTATTTTCGTGGTGCTGCCTATCGCATTTGTCTAGATACTTTTCAGTCTCTGTAGGGTTCAAGTCTCTGCCCTTTGTGAGATTTTATGGTGTTTAAGAACCCATTGTCGCTGCTGGGAAACAAAAGCCATTGTGTTATTGAGAGTTTTGTTTGGTTGCTGCAGTCCCAATTCCGGTGGTGGCGTCGTTCAGGAAGATTAAGAACCTCGTGAAGAATCATGGGGTTTTGGCAGCAACCTTGCGAAATTCGACACAGTTGGTGAGTTGATCGTATGTATGGTGGTTATTGCAGTAGTACAATGTATGGTAACCGGAAGCTTTCTGTTGGCAATTTAGATGTGAACATTCCCTTCCTATTGTTTGCATTTTGTCTCATTTTAACAGGGATTTTTTTTTGAGACGATTAGCCTTATATTTACATCATGATATTGGTTTTTAAAACAGGTGGTAAGTGAGGATGGGAAAAAGGTCCGGCGAGCTCACCCACTTCCAGAAGTTGATCTAGAGGAAATCCAGGTATCAGTGTTTTTGTATCTGTCTACTCTTGAAATATCTGCAAAAATGAAACGTGCTCATTATTTGTCTAGCAATGCGAGTTCTAGCTTTTCAGTGTGTAAGACTATGTTCACGATTGTTAGTGATGCTGTTTACATTATTTTTCTCCTGTTCTGTTTTCCTCATGATCTATGTTGAATTGGTTGAGCAGGCGCGTACAGTAGTAGCTGAGAACTTGCCAGAGGACCACTCTATTGAAAGCCTGGAGCAGTTGTTTGGTAAAGTTGGCACAGTGAAGATGGTTCGGATCTGTTCTCCAGAAGCCGCCAATGGAGCTAATGCGACCGGCGCGAAGCATCCGAAGACTGACATGCTGGTTAGCAATAAGGTGAGGAATTGTTTTGTGTCCATGTTGATTGTGGTTGTACAGGGCTTCTGTTTCAGAGATGTCATGTAGTGAATTGATGTTATTGTTGTTTCTATTGAGTTAATGTGAGGTTATAAGGTCGTTAATAAGTTCTGTTTGGAAAGCGGAAAAATTGTGGTTGTCGCCTTGACGTTTGTAGGCTTGTTAATGATGGTTAACTGCTTTTGCAGTTGCACGCTCTGGTCGAGTATGAAACTGTGGAGCTTGCTGAGAAAGCTGTAAGTAATAGGATATTCAAAGTATTTTCCTTATCCAATGGGTATTATCTGACACATGTAGGGCAATCTTATTAAGTAGAACTCGATTTGAAACCAAATTTTCTGTGTGTGAACTCTCATGTTCCGCTGCACTTGTTATGAACTGACAGGCTTTGATCTTTTCGAGGTTTGAATACATGTTGTTTTGGTATATAATTTTTTTTCTTGTGCTAGCCACCAATTTGCTCCTAAGACAAGTTTTTTGTTTTATTTTATTTTATTTTATTTTTGTGTGTGTGTGTGTGTGTTCAGGTGGCAGAGCTGACAGATGAGCGGAATTGGAGAAGCGGGCTGCGTGTGCGTTTGCTGCTGCGCCGCCAGGTATGTACTGCTCCTTCCTTGTACCTTACCTAAGTTGCTTGATATACTTCATATTATGGTTGCTCGATAATCCTTTATCTAGCTTAGAAGCTGTTCAGCAATCATGGCTTGCGCAAGTAACATCTGTCCACAGTTTCAGGGCAAACACAACTACCAGCAGGCCCCTCATCAGCGAACGCGCAAGCCAAGCATGGACAACGTCGACCTGGCTATGGAAGAGGAAGAAGGTGAAAAGCTGGATAAGAGCGGCGACAAAACTCATGACAAGGGTAGTGAGGAGCTGGCAGGCCAACATCATCATGCAGATCGCGGAGAAGATAACACGGTAAGTCGTGCAACTGGCAGTGGGCATGTGTCACATGCTGGTGAGATGGTTGCAGTAGGCGCCATTGGTGTGCGATGGTTTGGACGTGGTGATAGTGGGTAAATGCTAGAGGTGGATGTTGAGATGCAGGTGATATGTTGTAAACGGTCTGGGTGGAGTTTTTGACGAGTGTGTGGGTGTGGGGGATGGGGCACTGGCAGGGTGAGAGCGGAGATCAGGTGGGTAAGAAAGGGAGAGGTCGAGGTCGAGGTGGTAGAGCGGGCGGGGGAGGTCGGGGACGTGGACAGCAATTTTACAACACGCATTCGGGAACACCGCCTCGGGACAACAGCTTACATTTGGTAAGCGAGCTAGTAGGAAAGCCACCGCCAGGGCCACGCATGCCGGACGGAACGCGGGGGTTTTCGACGGGCAGGGGGAAGACTCTGGCTGTGAACACTGCTGTGAACTCGATGGCGTAGTAATAGAGGGGTTGGATAAAAGAAAGCGTGGTTTGGAGTTGGTACCCAATTGGAATGGTGGAGCGTTGTGGCTCCCAGCGAATGGGATGTGTTTTGTGGCGAAGGGACTGAGAGGTGTTTCAGTTTGGATTTGTGAAAAAACATCAATTGGATGAGTCGATGTACATACTTTGTTGAATGAGTACAATCCGCCTACTCCTTTTGTTTCCGAAATGAGGTACCTTTTAAAGCTGGAATGAAAATCTTGTCTGATTACGTGGCATGAGCAACAAGTGACTTGGTACGAATTCTTTTATGAAGTGGTTCCAGATTGGCTGAAGTGGCAGTCGCTTAATGCACCAAATCGGGTTTAATCTATTCCTGTTGTCACTACCCATTATGGAGGCTTATTTGAAATCTGATTGATTCATGGCGTTCGAAAGGAGAACTTATTTTGTATTGACGGTCTAATGAGTAGCTCTACCAATGTCACTTGCATGATGGGTACTCGGAGAGTTATCGCAAACGTCAATTTCGTTTTTCTTCCACTGTTTTTAGAGTCAGATCTGTTACAGGTCAGGAACTGAATCTATTCGGTACGTGTACCACAACATCTACGTTTCAGTCATGTCTCTTTCTCAGACCTGTAATGGCTATTACAACAGTAAACGGTTGTGTAGCCCAACCACTTGCACTATCTGTTGCCAACTCAGCCAAGAAAGTATCATTCCCCTCCTGGAAAGATCATATTGTGAGTCAAATCAATCCACAATAGGGGACTCAGTGCTGTCAAGGTTCTGAATTTCCTCTTATTTATAGCATGCCACCTCTACTGTTTCATTGTAGGTCATCTTCTGTCATGACTACTGACCTGCACGAATATCTGCCCAGAGCGTGTTTACGTTTGCCTTTTCTCGAAAAATTCCGACATCGGAAATTCGGGGAGTAGTATTTTGATGGGAGGATGTGAGTTGTAGCTCTGTTGCGTGTGAGAGGTGGTATTCCTTTCAACCAGCCCACCCTGCTCTGTTCCGTCCACTGTCTTTCTCTGTTGCTGCGGTACGCTATATCTGGTGCTCTTCGTCTTTTTGTAGTTGAAATGTTTCTTTAAGGCCTTGAAGCGAGTTACTTTTTAGTTTTTAGTAATTGGTTTTTAAATGTTTTGGTTGGTCGGTCTTGTGTGGGTTGGAAAAGCGATATTTTAGTTGACGTGGTTTTTGTGGAATTTCGGTGGAATTTGAGGAGAGAGGAAGAGGCGCTTTAGTGTAGTTACCAGGAGGATTTCGGGTGGACTGGAGTGTGGTGAAGTATCTCATGCAATCAGGTAACTCATCACTTTGGCTTCTGGGGGAGTTCGGTGGTTAGCGGTTTCAGGATGTGAAAGGCGGCTTGCATGCATGTTTTTGGAGTGGCTTGGTGCATGATTAGCTTGTGTATGATTATTTCCTGCAACCATTGTACATGCTAGTAGCGTTTTCTTTTCTAAGAGAGGCATTAGTCGTACCGATTACGGAGGACTGGAAACGGCTTTGAAAAGTTGGTGTGAAGCTCCTCGTTGATAGAGAGTAGGAAAATGCTTGTGATCACTTGGGAGAGTGAAAATAACTGTCTGACAATGTGATCGCTTAATTTGAAGTACATACAGCGAGGTTTGATGCGTGGAAGTTTATTGAAATTTGCGTTTCAGGGGTTAGGGTCTTGATGTAACAGATCTGTAATCATGTAAAATTAATCTAGTATTCTTCACGTTTCGTTGTTACGTATGTCAATTTAACTGTCTTGGTTTAGGGATGTTCAGAGTGAGCCACTGTGGTCATTTTTTGATGATCTTTTTGAAGATCGGGATGATACTAGAGACGGTTTGTGATGGAAGCTCGAGGATGGAATACTTCAGCCATTGATGCTTGCCTGTGCTCGTCTTTACGAAATACTATAGTTTTTATTCTGTGATATTGTAAGAAGTGAATCAGCAGAGATGTTTCCTCCGAGTCGTAAGTTAGCCATCTATGTTACCAATTTTCAACCGAGTTTTGTTTGTTTGGACTTAGTCGAAGAATTATATTTTTTGAATACCTTAATTGATCAGCTTTACTTCTCTACTAAACCTTGGGAGTTAAACATGTGCGCTTGACTTGCAATATTCGCCAGAAGTCGTGAGAATCTTAAGTAACCCCTGTAAATTGATTTGTGAAGTATGTTTCAGTTTTGCTCCTTTTTTATTTTGGACATCTCTGTCATCGTTCCCGACTCAAAGTTAATGTATAAGACTATAATATTTGTATTTTAGGTCAGCTTTTTGCCGAAGATTGCTAAGTACGTTACTGATATGTATATTGCAGGAGAAAGTATGCCACTCTCAGTTGCCCAAGTATGTCATCGAAGGATCGCGGTCGCAGTTGATTTGAGTGATGAAAGTGCCTATGCGGTCAAATGGGCCGTAGAAAACTACCTTCGCTCTGGCGACCACGTAGTTATCCTTCATGTGCGACCCACAAGTGTTCTTTTTGGAGCAGACTGGGGCGCGTCAGACCAAGTCATTCCGGCTGATGAGGAGTCTCAGCAGAAAATGGAAGATGATTTTGATACTTTCACAACCACTAAGAGCTCTGACCTTGCTAAATCACTGTTAGACGCCAAAATACCTTACAAGATTCACATTGTGAAAGATCATGACATGAAGGAGCGAATATGCTTGGAGGTCGAGCGACTTGGAGTCCATGCAATGATCATGGGTAGTCGAGGTAGACAAATTCTTCTCAATTAAGTCGCCTTTCTTCTGACCCGAACTGCTTTTTTACATTGTGCTCGGTGAGTGCAGATTAAATGCCCAAATCATATGATATCCTTGGCCGACATCACCCACAATTTGTTATAGTAATTTCAGATTGCAGATTATTTCAACATCATGCTAAAAAATGTTGCTATGTCCTTTTTGAAATACTTCTAAACTTTTCACATATTTGAGCACCATTCATGCACAAGGTTGTGTTTTTGTTCTTCTCTGATTGGTGCGACTGACTTTTCAATGGCTAGTCACGCATGCCAGAGAGATGTGATTACAACACGTATTGTACCACAGGTTAGTGTAGCATTAGTCTGTCATTTTCGGCTGCTGAAAGCGCAGCTTTTGTTGCAATCATCCGCCTGAGGTCTGACCAAATGTGCTGATTTTGATGTCATGCAGGGTTTGGTGCTTCTAATCATACTCGGAAAGGTCGACTTGGTAGTGTCAGTGATTACTGCCTACATCACTGTGATTGCCCTGTCGTTGTTGTGCGATATCCGGAGGGTAAGGACGGTGAGACCATCACACAGCGGTCGAATTCCAGACCTAGAACCCCTAGTCCACATGCGCACCCAAGTCCAACTCTGAAGCCTCAAGCCGAATTTGATAAGAAATTCGAAAATGTAGATAAAAGCCAGGTTTGAGAAGATGCTATCGATACTCGAGCGGCATAGAATGAAAGTGCTTAAGTTGTAAGTCTGCTTGTTTACATAGGAATGGAAATGGAGTTGCAGGCCATTCCCTATGTATGATAAAAGGCATCGTTGACAGATTTCATCTTAGGAGTATCTTGCCAGGCCTTCTTGAGAGATTAACTAAATTGTGACGCGAAATGTTTACGTTGGTATTCAGCAAGTACAGTGGTTTTTCGTCACCAACTATTTTAGTGTGCTGAAGTTGAAGATGTCAAGAATTTCTCTACCCCTGCCGTTTGTTTCGTAAGCTGTTCCTTCGGCTCCCTGCTCTTTACGTTGCGTGTAGAAAGCTTGTCAGATGCATCTTTTTGGTGCTCTGAATGAATCGGATAATCCCGAAGACTCAGCTATTACATTATATTGTGCTATTTCAGTTTGCACTTTTTGTAACATTCCCCTATTAAGCTCATAATACAAGTTCATCGAAGTTTCATTTTATCCCTCATTCTTGTAAGCCACCATCTCTTGGATTTGCAATTCTTGCTTACATGACGATTTCAGTTCTCCTTGATCATCTGCAATGTCTTCACATCATGTTTTCAAAATGTTGAAAGGCCCATTCCGAAGAAGGGGTAGCAGAACCCAGAATTTCGTTTTGTGACAGATCCACTCACAACTTAGGAATTTCGAACCTCTGTTCAAAATTTGGGCAGTGAAAAGGGGATTCTGTGGTTCTTCCTAACCCCTCTTTGATGCATTTATTTATTTTTTTATTTAAATTAATATGAATAAGCAAGTAAAGAACAAAAAAAGAAATATATCTCTTTATATACAGACGTAACCACTCATATGGTATTTTTTGCCGTTTTCCCTGATATTTTATTGCAAGGCGCTAGAATCCTAGCTGTGAATGCAAGTCAACAGTGGAGAGGTGTAAATGATAGTTTGTACTCCACAATATTTACTGTAGTCTACAGTAAATATTATAGCTACAGTATTTGGAATGTAGTGGAGAGGAACTGTTTATCTTCTCCCCTTCTCTTCTTGTATACGAGACACAACCTAATCAATAGACTTTTGTGTGAAGCTCTTTCTCTCCTTAGAAACTCTCTTGTGTATGTATGTATTACTTACTACTACTCTTGTGTCTTTCTAAACATTCTCAACACGTATCAACATGACTCTCTTTTATACACTATCACAATTATTTTATTTTATTTTATTTTATTTTTTTTTGTTCTAGTCTTGACTCTTCAAACTTGTTGCTACTCCTACTCCTTGTGTGACTCATGATCTTGCTGCACTTCTTGCTCGCCCCTCACACATTAGCTGCTTGCTTAGAATACTTGTTCTAGCCTTGCCTCCTTGTTGCACCCCGTGCCTGCTGACAAATAGCTATCAAATTGCTGCTGCCATCGTTGCACTACCGCTGCCACCCTATCGCCGCCGTTGACCACCAATTACCACTAAATAGCCGCCGATTGCTCCGTTGTTACTATCGCCGCCGCCCTATTGCCACAATCCACAACCTTGTTAAAAAAAAATAAAAAATAAAATTAATTAATATTTTTGACTTCAAGTTCAATTTTATCATTTTATTTGACTTTATATTTTTTAGATTCATTTTACTCAACTTTTCTACTTGATCTTGTATTTTCTTTATAGATTTATTTATAATGAGTGCTTCAACATCTTCAATTGCTTCTACTATAATTCCAACTATTACCAATGCATCCCAACATTTTGAAGCTCTTTTATTTCTACCATTGATTGTGGATGGAAACAATTATCTATTATGAGCAAAAATGGCAAAAGCAAATTTATTTGCAGAAAAACTCTCGAATGCAATTACGTTTGAAGCATCTCCTACAATAAGTATTTCTATTCTTCTTGCTATTTGTTGGAAAGCACTTCTTCTCCTTCATTGTCATCTTGTACCTGCATTACAATATCAATATTTAGAAATGGAAGATCGTGCAGAACTTTAGAAGAATCTTAAATCCATGTTTGATCATCAAAAGACCATTTTCCTTCCATATGCATGTCATAATTGGATACATTTAAGTGTCTTGGATTTTCCAAATTTAAATGCTTTCAATAGTGAAATATATAGTATTGTCTCACAATTATGATTATATGGACAAAGCATCTCTGAAGAAGAAATGATAGTTAAACTCTCTCTACATTTCCTATTGTATCTACTGTGCTTGCACAACAATATAGGAACATGAAATTTTAGAGTCGTTTTGATCTCATGTCCTATCTACTTCTTACAGAGAAGCAAAATGAGCTATTCTTGTGCAATGCAGAAGCTCGTCCTATTCGAACCACAGTTCCAGAATTTCATACACTTAATATTTCAAAGTCTAAGAAAAAATTATATAAACATGGGAAACGTGATCTTAAGCATCAGGGCAATTATAGTCATGATTATTTCTACCCATGTGGAAAGAATAAACATTCTACTATTAATTATAGTAGAAAAAAAAAATCAAAGATGCATTCTTGCTATAAATGTGGAATGATTGGACATTTAGCACATGCGTGTCGTACTTCAAAATATTTTATTAAAATATTCCAAGAAAATAAGAAACTACAAGCTGAGGCTCGTGAAGTTCATATCATGGATGCATCCATGGATTCAATTGGTATTGATGATTTAGAGGCTTATATGAATGACAAAACCTCTAATGAAGAATCAAATGATGCTCTCATTGATTTTGTAACAACACATACTATTTTGTAGGATAGATAATTTTTTTATTGAAAAATCTTCAACTTGGCAAACTAAAAATATGATGACCATAGTTAGAGCAAATGCGTTTTATTTCCAAGAAGGCATAGTGATGGTAAAATTACCTATGGATTCCATCATAAAATGTAAACATGCGATGTTTGCACCCTCAGAGTCTCATCAACTACCGAGATGTGTGTATCAATGGTTATCACCTCTCGACTGCCATTTTAAATAGAAAAGAAGTTTTGGTTCTTGCAAAGAACCATAAAATTATTAAAAAATCTTTTGATATAGAAAATGGTTTATTCCAAATTGTGATTCAGCTTCCATTATATTTAATTTTACATCATCTATCACAAAGAATCATGCTTCTCTCTGGCATGGAGAATTGGGACATCCAGGATCTATATTATTTAGAAAGATCATTTCATATATAACTAGGCACAATTTAAAGCCTGCAGATGTAGGTTCTATAGAATTATGTCGTGCATGTGTATAAGACAAGATGATTATTTGGCTTTCAATTTGGAAATTGCCACAAGAATTACCACCAATGCTTGAAAGATTGGATGGTAATATTTGTGGTCCTATTAATCCAATATTGAGACCATTTCATTATTTTTTGGTCTTTGTTGATGCATCAGGTAAACAATCACATGCTTCATTATTATCAACCCGAAACATAGTGTTTGCCAATCTTATATCTATGCTTATTTATTTTTAGGCATATTTTTTTGATTATCCTATAAAAACATTGCGTATGGATAATACAAAAGAATTTGCATCAAAGTCTTTTGAAGACTATTGTATTACAACAAGAATTGAGTTGACATATTGTATTCCATAAGAATATACTCAAAATAGACTTAAAAATTTATTTATAAAGCATATAGAATTCATTAACTAGCTATTCTTCTTTCACGCAAATTTACATGCATCTATATGGAGTCATGCAGTTTTACATGCTACAGCATTAATACGTTGTCGTATTACGTGCTATCTAGCTTGAAAATGCATCAGGCATTTGGCTGTGGAAGAAAAAATGATGTTTTGCAAGTATCCAAGTAGTCTAGTGGATTTCAACTATCTAAATACAAACTATTTCGGATTTCAATATAAAAGCTTAATCCTAATACAAAGTGCTTAGAATACTATTTTTAATAGCTTCTAGATATTATAAGTATAAATTATTTTGTTATTTTTTATTTTTATTTTTATTTCATTTTTTTTAAAATTTTTATTTATTTATTTTTTAAAATCCTAACCCTAGACAACAAGTCTCGACAAGCTGTAATTCTCAATCTGACCATCTGATTGTTGTGAGACTTCTATCACTAGTGTCTTTACTAGTCTTCTAAATGCTCAAGAAGTTCAATTCAATTCAACTTACAGATTGCAAGAAAACACTCTAAATCCACGTTGAAGTCCCTTGATCGCTGCCTAGAAGGTTGATGATGAACTTTAACTTACAATTTCTCCTTCTCTAACTATTAATTCTCATTCAAACTTTGTATGCAGCTCCACTTTTAAGTCCTTGATTTATTGTCTCAAAATTCACCTCATTCCAATTGATGGATCTCAGATATTACAAAAATCCTAAACAACTCCAATATGCCAACTTTTGATACCTCTTTATACTAATGATCAAATATCCTCTATCCGTACCATAAGATTAACACAAATTTTTGCATGCACTTAGTATACTCAACCATCTAGACACCTCTAAAATTTCAACCACAGATATATCTCCAATTTTGTAAAACAATCAAGAGTACTAGCCTTTACTTTATTACAAAAATCCAATTCACCAATATAAACACTGACTTTGAGCAATGATTGCAAAGTCCTCCCAAACCCTATAAAATCCAATTCTACACCTTTCGAAGGAGCTTGAAGCTAGCTCTCCAACTCTAAAAATTGGATCTCCAAATGCTCCCTTCTTTTTCCTCTCCTTTCTTTTAACTCCGTGAGGTCTCCTATTCTTCCGCCCTGGACTCTGAATTAGAACAGCAGACTTACCTCTATAGAATTCCTGCCTCTAAGAGGATCTTTTCATGAAAAGGATGTTTCTCCAAAATGACATAGAAAACAAAATAGCTTGAAATAGAATCGAAGCCTCCATATTCGAGACCTCATTGGGTTGCACAACCGAGTCAGGTCTCATATTGGGTAAGAAGCCCATACCAGGATCTGGATTGGATGTCCCTGTAATTGAGTCAAATTGCCCCTTCACATCAGACTCATCCAAATATTGAATTGGTCCTTTGTCCTTTTGCCGACTCCTGATAAGAACGGCTCGAACTTATTCCACCCGATTTACCAGATATTCTTGAAGACCTCAATTTATCTCCTCAATTTTTTCATGGCTTTGGATCTGTTGATTCTGATTATTGAAATTGAATGGAATATTACATTGTTGATAAGTATACCTCAACTGCTTGCTATTTCCATACATTAGTATGTAATTATCACTGGCTCTGGGATTGGAACATTCACTAGCATAATGACCAATTGTCAAGGAGAAGAACTCGATGAAAAACAATTCAGACAAGTGAGCCTTCACTCAAAGAGAGGTAAATAAACAAATATATATATTGAAAGAAAAACTGGAATGGCTATTGCCAAAAGACAAGAAAACTAGAGACCCTTGAAACTAGACTAGAAGCAAGAAAGGAGTTGACAAGAGTGAAGAAGCCTTCACCCTTGTCTCTATATATACTATCTAACTAGGGGCTACGTGGTGACGTTCT